AGGTTCTTACTATAATCCATTGTAATGATCTATCCCTGGCTTTAATACATGGTGCAGCAATGCAAAATTTGCTGTAACCAGTACTGAGGATTTGTCTGTCCTCAATCTCTGTGTTTTATTCTCATAGTTAAGCATCTGCAATAATAATAATTATTGAAATTGATAGCATTTCTATTGGACTTTCCATCTGAGGATGTCTCAGGGTTTTCACAGCGATACAGAAATAAGCCCTACAATTTGCCCTTGAGAAGCAGATGGCTTTTTGCTATTATGGAGATGAGGAACTGAAGCACAGTTCAGAAGTGTGGCTTATGATACCAAGCTTGTTTTCAAAAGTTACTTTCTTGGGTGCTAGAATTCCATCAACGTTCAACAGCTTAAAGCATTTTCAGTGCTTTGACCATCTTTAACTTGTGTGTCATGGAGGGACTCAGAGAGAAACAGAAGTCTGAGCTTAAACAGCAATCCTTCCTTCACCAATCAATTTCAGGGTTTTGTGTTTGTTAATTTAAGTATTTCTCTTGTGTACTAGCTCTGTGCTAGAGGAATAAACCTCTTAGAATAAGATCACGTTCTAAATCTGACCTCCTTGGTTTACTGTCCCGTATGGAGATGCCTTCTGGGCTCAAGAGGGGAGTCGTAAAGATGTTTCTTTGGCCAGACCCTGGATTTTTCTGATGCCTGGGGCTGGTTGTGCGGGCTCTCCTGAGCCCTGTGGTGCTCAGTCTGTGCTGGTGGCACTGGGAGGAGCTGGCCTGCTGCACTGCACAGACCACACTGCAGCGTGCCCGTGCTGTGGAGGGATGCACAGAGGCCCTGTGGAAGAGCCACCTGAGCTCCCCACACCTAGGGGAGACAGACTGGGGAGATTTTTCAGTGGAGAGGGACCCAATGATGCTCTGTTGGTGAACAAGAGCTTTAGGGAAGGACAAACTTCAGGTCCAGGCCAGCAAATGTGGTCTCAGTGCATGTGTTTTTTTTTCTTAAAAGGAAAAGGAACCAGCTGGGGGTAGCCTGGGTTTGTGCTCTTCCTGCCCAGGAATGTGGCCCCCAGGGCTGGGTGACTGGGGAGCTGAGCAAGAAAATGAAGCTCTGCTCAAAGTTCAGCAGGAGTGAACTGCTTCCAGCTACCTGTGGGCAGGGAGATGGGAAGGTGTTTGCAGGGACTGTGAAATTGTGTCTGGTTGATTATATTTCTATTAGCAAAATAACTCTGGAATAATAAATATATCAATGTCAGCAGTGTATGCTGAGATGGCAGTGCTGCTTACTCCTGGCAATCTGTGATGAGCCATTTGTCTCCCTTCTAAGAGATATCACGTCTTTTTAAAACTTCATTTTATTGTTTTAGCGTCATGAATATGTCTCTGAACTTGCCTTGTGTTATCTGGAAGATAAATAGAGAATGAAGTATGATTTATACTACATTTTGGCCAAATTGTTCTTCTTAGAAGGAAAAATACATTTATTGAATGCATTGAGGATGGAATTAGCTCCTCACTGATGATGATAAATGCTTGCAGTCCTGTAAACGTGCTGAACATTAAGTTGCTAAATTACTGTACCACTTTGAGATTGATTATCAAGAATGGCCCTTTAAGCTTCATGACCTGCACATATATCCTGAGGACTACTGGCATCCTGAAGCTTCCTTAATGCTCTTTTTTTCCTAATTAAACTTTTTATTGAATTTTCTTACCCTTTTAATACTTGTTTTGATTCTCTTATGCGCAAATGACAAAAGCCTTGCACCAACCATGTGATTCTCTATTTTAGAACAGTCCCACTTTGCAGGATTAGCCATTTTAATGACTTTAATCTCCTTTTTGAAAGTGATTTTTCTCATTCTGCTACATTCCTTTGATTGCATTAATGTAGAATTATTATTCTAACCATCTTTGCCAGACATGTCATACCACATCTAAAATATATCTTCCCACTAAAATATTACTGTGGTAAAATACCTTAGAATTTTCTCCTCAGTTCATTATAGGTCTTTTCTTCAATTTAATATGGCAAGTTAAAATTAACAGGGCTATTATTCATTCATTCCATGAAGAGATTAATGATAATGAGTTTTCCCTAATTTCTTCAGTTTAGGTGTTCAGTAATTTAGTATCTTGTTAATAAGAAATCCAGGTGGGTTGTTTCTGGTGCTTAAAGTTTCCTCTAAAATTCTTTTTAAACTGTAAAAGTATGAGAAAATGCTGGAATAAAAAGAATCAAGAAACTAAACATGACAATTGGTAAAAGGTCCAACTGAAGCTAACAAAAGGAGATAATATTTGCATTCTATGTAAACACTTCCATTTTATGACAAATCCAGCTTCCCAACCTGAGAAATGTTATTTTTTAAAAAAATCCAAATTATATTAGCAAAGGCTTTGTGCTTCACTCACAAAGTAATACTAACACCAGCTTTCTTTGATTTTGTTTTCTGAATAGCCCAATATGTTTGAAGAGCAGCAGCTGGACGGGAACTGGCTCTGCTTGAATGTTAGACTGTGTTTTGAGCTAGATCTGTTCATTTCAGAGCAAAAAGAGACTTTCTAGAGATTTGTTCACTTTGCGTGGTGGGCCAATGTAATGGTTGGCATACGTGCATATGGATGTGAATAAGTCAAAGCAGTTGGCCCAGCCTGTGTTACCCCTGGATTTGGCCCGTGGCAGCTCAGGTTTCCGAGGCGAACAATGGAGCTTTATTCGGTGGGGGCGCTGGGAGAGCTCGGGCTCCTCTCGGCGCAGCCCTGGCTGTGCGCGCCGCGCTCCGCGCTCGGCAGCCTGACTGCGAGGGGGGGAGATTTCCAATGCACGTGGTTTTACAAACGTTTCTGCAAACGGACATGGAAAATTATTATAATTACAGCCAGTAAGGCCGAGCAGTAACTAGCACATGGTGGGGTGCTATTTCTCTTGTTGTTTTTCTCCCCCTCTCCGTAGACAGCAGCAGCGGCACAAACGCAACATGTGCTGCCCTAGTTCAGGCCCAGCATCCCCCTCGTGCTCCCCTTTGTCTCCTGCCCCTGGAGGAGCCCAGCTGGTGAGAGGAGGGAATTAGGCAGCCCTGAGCTACCGGCACCTCCCCGGGGCCCCTAATCCGGGCGCTGGCAGCCGGCTGCTCTTCCCTGCGCCGGCCCGTGGCCGCAGGTCCGTGGGGACGGAGCCCCGGATACGGCTGGCGGCAGAGCTGGGGATGGCGGGGGCTGGGGGCTCCCCGGGGGCTCCGCAAAGCTGTGCTGGCAGCGGGGTGGGCGGCGGAGGTGGCTTGAATTGGGAACATGAGGCTTTGTTGCAGCTGCAGAGAGAGAGCCGTTCGTGGTCGGGGGAGTGAAGCCTGAGAAAAGTTTACATAAAAATCAGGAGCTCGTTGTCTGTGCTTTAGGCTTGGGCTCCGCCAGATTTGGAGGAGCTAGTTGGGCGCAAAGACCTTGAGCATCTCAGAGGTGCGGATGCTCGCTGAGAGTCGAGGTGCATTTCGGGAGCAGCAAGAAGCAGGTTCTCGGTGTCCAGCATCGCTCTGGAGCAGGAGGTTTAGTGAAACGGGGGAGCAGAGCTCTCGGGAGCAAGGGGTGTGAGAGCAGATGCCCGACCTGGAAAATAGACATCCCCATCGTGTGGGAAAAGTTGTTTGGGGTGTGCATATTTGGTTTAGTTTTTTCCCAGGTCGCTGCTCTCTTTCTTTACCTGGGATGAAAAAGCAGGTGTTTGCCAGGGCAGAGGGTGCTGCAGGAGCTGCCTGGTACGGTGGTGATACCCCATTAGCCGAGCCCTTCTTCGGGAGCTCCTCGCCGTACTTGTGCCTTCTCGCCTGGAGACTCTGTAGTTGGCAGGCACGAGGAGTGCGTGTGTGGCAGCCTACACACACAGTCAGGGATTTTTTTATTGGTTTGTTTTAGTAAAAACTGAAGTAGGAACATTAAATGTTTTATAAGGATGGTGTATCTCGAGAACCGGCTCCTTTTTGGAATCTCCAAATGTTTGCGTGGTCAGCGCTTTCCATCATTTACATGAACTTTATTTTTGCTTCATTCTGTGGTTTAGTTTGATATCAGACTAGTGGCATTTATGTTTCACTCAACATCTCTGCATTTGTTGGAATTAGGATATTTGAATTCACTCTCTTCTGTTTCCTGTTAACAATTCTGTTAATGAAAGCTGACAACATTTTATGTATTTTTCCTAAAATGACTGTGGGGCTGCTGGAGTTGGTGCTGTGTTTCTTTATGGTAATATGGAATTATAAAATATTTTTCAAAGCTTCATATTGAGTAAAGGAAATAGTTATTAAAACAGAGGCTGGACAATTTTTAGTTTATCCTGAACTTGATTCTTTTGTGATGTCTAGAGATCTCCAGTGGTGATTTTCCTTGGCTTTAAAAAAATTTCTTTGATTTTGTACCAAGAGAGCAACATTACCTTTTATACAAGCAAACATGGTAATGGTGCAGATCTCTTCTCTGATTTTCTTGAGCTCTCTCAAATCTGATGCTTTTATTCCACCTAGATGTTCAACTCTGCCTTTGAGCAGCCTTTCATTCTGTTACAGTTTTGAGACAGAACTGAAGGATTTTTTTAATGGAGACATTACTTAAAATCATCTTGATGTAGCATTTAACAGACCCACAAATTCACAGGTGATCACTTAACACTGTAGCTTTCTGAAGTGTTTGTATTGCTTCACTGCACATTGTGTTTCGCTTTCTTTATTCATTGTTTATTGCTTTACAGTACAGTGAGCAGGTGTTAAACCTGCTAAAGAAAAACGCTTTTTATTAACACTATGTGTTGGCATATTTGTGAATTATGTGTACAAATATATTTTTATTTCTCTTTCACAAACCTCCTTTCAAATTCAAGAGGGTTTATTGGGGGTTTTTTTTGAGTTGATTTTTTTTAAATGCTGTAGTAGCAGAAGCCCATAGTGTTGTTGAGAGCTTTGTCCTTATTTCACAGATGCACTGGGAATTGTTTTTAATCTCCTTTCTGCTTTCCCATTACAGATGGTGATGACGACCCACAACTCTCCTGGGTGGCTTCATCTCCCTCCAGCAAAGATGTTGCATCACCCACTCAGATGATAGGAGATGGGTGTGATCTTGGCATCGGGGAGGAGGAAGGGGGGACTGGCCTGCCGTATCCCTGTCAGTTTTGTGATAAGTCCTTCATTCGCCTGAGCTACCTTAAAAGGCACGAGCAGATCCACAGTGACAAACTACCTTTCAAATGCACCTACTGTAGCCGGCTTTTTAAGCACAAGAGGAGTAGGGATCGCCACATAAAGCTTCACACAGGGGATAAAAAGTACCATTGCCACGAATGCGAGGCTGCATTCTCCCGCAGCGACCACCTCAAAATCCACCTGAAAACCCACAGCTCCAGCAAACCATTCAAGTGTACTGTGTGTAAACGTGGGTTTTCATCTACCAGCTCATTGCAGAGTCACATGCAAGCTCATAAAAAGAACAAGGAACATATGGCAAAGACTGAGAAAGAGGTGAAGAAGGATGATTTTATGTGTGATTACTGTGAAGAGACATTCAGTCAGACTGAAGATTTGGAGAAGCACGTAATGACACGCCACCCACAGCTTTCCGAGAAGGCAGATTTGCAGTGTATTCATTGCCCTGAAGTATTTGTAGACGAAAACTCGCTGCTCTCACACATTCATCAAGCCCATGCCAACAAGAAACACAAGTGCCCTATGTGCCCAGAGCAGTTTTCTTCAGTGGAGGAAGTCTATTGCCACTTGGACAGCCACAGACAACCTGACTCCAGCAACCACAGCATCAGCCCTGACCCAGTCCTGGGGAGTGTGGCGTCCATGAGCAGCGCAACGCCGGACTCCAGCGCGTCGGTGGAAAGAGGTTCCACTCCGGATTCGACCTTAAAGCCTTTGAGAGGACAAAAGAAAACCAGGTCTGTTGACAGAGAGGATGGCCAGAACTGGTCTAAAGTTACTTACAGCTGCCCCTACTGCTCGAAACGTGACTTCAACAGCCTTGCTGTTCTAGAGATCCATCTGAAGACCATTCATGCAGACAAACCTCAGCAAAGCCACACGTGCCAGATCTGCCTTGATTCCATGCCTACACTGTACAACTTGAATGAACACGTGAGAAAAGTGCACAAAAACCATGCCTATCCCATGATGCAGTTTAGCAACATTTCTGCCTTTCATTGCAATTACTGCCCGGAGATGTTTGCAGATATCAATAGCTTGCAGGAACACATCCGCATTACTCACTGCGGCCCAAACGCTACCACTCAAGATGGCAACAATGCTTTCTTCTGTAACCAGTGCTCCATGGGCTTTCTGACCGAAGCTACCTTGACTGAGCACATCCAGCAGACTCACTGCAATGTAGGAAATTCAAAATTGGATTCCCCTGTCATTCAGCCAACACAGTCTTTTATGGAAGTTTATTCATGCCCTTATTGCACAAACTCCCCCATTTTTGGCTCCATCCTGAAGCTTACAAAGCATATTAAAGAAAACCACAAGAACATTCCTCTGGCACACAATAAGAAGTCAAAAGCAGAGCAGAGTCCAGTTTCTTCTGATGTTGAAGTCTCTTCCCCTAAAAGGCAGCGGCTTTCTGCAAGCGTAAACTCAGTGTCTAATGGCGAATACCCATGTAATCAGTGTGATCTAAAGTTCTCAAATTTTGAAAGTTTTCAGACCCATTTAAAGTTGCATTTGGAGTTGCTGTTGAGGAAACAGTCTTGCCCTCAGTGTAAAGAAGACTTTGATTCCCAGGAGTCTCTTCTGCAACATCTCACTGTACACTACATGACAACTTCTACTCATTATGTATGTGAGAGCTGTGACAAACAGTTTTCTTCAGTGGATGATTTGCAGAAGCATTTGTTGGACATGCATACTTTTGTGTTGTATCACTGCACACTTTGCCAAGAAGTTTTTGATTCCAAGGTATCTATCCAAGTGCATCTGGCAGTCAAGCATAGCAATGAAAAGAAGATGTATCGTTGCACAGCCTGTAACTGGGATTTTAGGAAGGAGGTGGATCTGCAGATCCATGTGAAGCATAGTCACTTGGGTAATCCATCAAAGTCTCACAAATGTATCTTCTGTGGTGAGACCTTCAGCACAGAGGTAGAACTGCAGTGCCACATCACAACCCACAGCAAAAAATACAACTGCAAGTTTTGTAGCAAAGCTTTTCATGCCATCATCTTGCTTGAAAAGCACTTGAGGGAAAAACATTGTGTTTTTGATGCTAGTGCTGAGAATGGTACAGCTAATGGCATGACCCCCACAAATAAGAAGACAGAAGGGGCAGATATCCAGAACATGTTAATGAAGAATCCGGATACTTCCAACAGTCATGAAGCCAGTGAGGATGATGTGGATGCTTCTGAGCCCATGTATGGCTGTGACATTTGTGGGGCTGCCTACACTATGGAGGTCCTCTTGCAGAATCATCGTTTGAGAGATCATAACATCAGGCCTGGGGAGGATGACTGTTCTAGGAAGAAAGCAGAATTCATCAAAGGTAGCCACAAGTGTAATATCTGCTCAAGGACCTTTTTCTCAGAAAATGGCCTGAGGGAGCACATGCAGACCCATCGAGGCCCAGCTAAGCACTACATGTGTCCCATCTGTGGGGAACGCTTCCCATCGCTCCTGACCCTGACGGAGCACAAAGTCACTCACAGCAAGAGTTTGGATACAGGCACGTGTCGGATCTGCAAAATGCCACTGCAGAGCGAGGAGGAATTCATCGAGCACTGCCAGATGCATCCAGATCTCAGAAACTCCCTCACTGGGTTTCGCTGTGTTGTCTGCATGCAGACGGTCACCTCGACCCTGGAGCTGAAAATTCATGGGACGTTCCATATGCAGAAGTTGGCAGGAAACTCTGCAACCTCATCGCCTAACGGCCAGGCCTTGCAAAAACTCTACAAGTGTGCGCTGTGCTTGAAGGAGTTCCGGAATAAGCAGGACTTGGTAAAGCTGGATGTGAACGGCCTTCCCTATGGCCTGTGTGCTGGATGCATGACCAGGAGCACCAATGGACAGTCTTCGAGCTTGACTCCACAGGAGGTGAACGAGAGGCCGTGTGGCAGCCTGAGGTGTCCAGAGTGTAGTGTCAAATTTGAAAGTGCTGAAGACCTAGAGAGCCACATTCAGGTAGACCACCGAGACCTGACACCTGAGACCAGTGGCCAAAGGAAAGGTACCCAGACATCCCCTGTTCCCAGAGTAAGTACAGCTGAACTTTAAAGTATCTGAGGGATAAAATGTAGACTTTCAATGTGAGAACTGATCTGATATTTATTTTTTTTTAAATTGTCACTTTATCAAATCATTTGTGCTATTAAAAAAAAACCTCAGCAAAACAGGAGAAAGGGTAGAGTAATTCACATAGAACAATCAGAAGTTGCTCAGCCTCTCAGGCACCTTGATTCCTAGTAGCAGTGCATCAAATTTTTTATCTCAGAACTGCCCTAGATTTACCAACAGAGAGTTGAGACTCTTGGCCAGTGGGCATTGAGTTTGTCCATGAATTCTGATTCTACTGAACTGGCAGATCTGGAAAAGCTGGGGTAGTTTAATGAAAAATGGAGATGCTGAGTACCCAAAACAATAAAAACATCTGTCATATTTGAGGAATGAGATTATTTCTTACTGGGAAAATAATAATGAACAGGAGGATATAGGAACTTGTGAGGGAAAATGTAGTGAGCTCCATCCTACCCCCCAAATTCTCACCTAAACCAAACTTCTATGCTAAAGAGCTTGTCCCTAGGAATGTCTGCCAGAGTGAAAGTTTTGAGGTCTGTGTGCATTTGTGTGAGCTTGTTTGTGTGTGCGTATGATTTTAAAAGTGACTTTAAAAGAACCTGCTTCATGGCCCTTGTGTAGGGTCCAATAGGGGATAAGTAGTTTCTTAGCAAATCTGGACATTGTCTAATGTAGATTACATAAAAGTGTGCTGTCCTTGACTTTTTGCAGATAGCCTGCTTTCCCATTTCTTAGCTTACAAGTTACTTGGGAACATGCAGATCCACGTAAGGTTCCAGAAGTCTACTCAGGAGATTAATATCATTTGCAGTTTATAGTCTTTTTAAATTATTTGTTGACATTTTGGTTCAAGAATGGGCCAAGTCAGTCCTTCCTCTGTCAGGAACAGATGGAATGAGAAGTGGATTTTGGAAATCTTCTCAGGAGACCAACAGCAGACACATCTGAGTATTGATATCATCTGACATTTTTAATTAAACATGATGGGGTGAGATTTTCAAAAGTATCTAAGGAAATTAGGCACCCAACTCCTAATGAATAATTCCAGCCGTAGATGCCTGTTTATGTCAATCTGCTAATTAAAGCACCCACAAACACATCTTACTGAATTAAAAGCACCTGAAAATACCATCCATTCAACTAGAACACCAGAGGCTTGGTAAGTAAGAGAGGGCCTTAAGCATGTCCTGAAGACGTGGGCTGAGGTGTCTCCAAGGGAGCTGGTGCAGGTTGTGTCCCTGGCAGGAATTTTTATCCCTGCTCCATGTGGGGCAGCAGTGTCTGGCTGAACTGGGCTGGGCACGGCCATGCTGGAGCAGTGCCCCAGTCCAGCCTCCTGAGCCAGTCCCACAGAAAGCTTGATTTCTTTTCTGGTCTTCTCTCTCTTGGTAAAAGCACTGATATTGTTCCCTCTGGGTGTGACTAAGCCTCCAGGCACACGAAAATAATTTTGCAGAAGATTGAGGAATGGAAATATCCCATCTTTGGTGTGATACCTAGGTCGGCCTAGATCATTGTTCTTCTTCCTCCTCAGGACTTTATTTTCTTCTAAATTCTTGAAAAATACCTCTCTTCTATTAGGTAGGACTAATTTGTGTTTCTGCACCTATGGAATTACCTTTCCCTTCCTATCAGCTAGCAGAACACATTGCCAGTTTCAGTCTTATTTCTTGCTTTAACTCTTTCTTTTCCATGACAGCTTCCATACTTGTTCACTCAGGGGAAAATGTTAAGTTCTTCAATAAGGTAAATGCTTTGGATTTCATCCCATGAGGGAAATTCTGAGTTTCTTTGTAGAAGATAAGAAAAAATCTGCATTTATGATGGTGGCAAACGGTACCTTACTGTTGTCTGTGGCCTGCACGTCTGCTAATATCAGAGATAAGCATCCCAGGAATATATATATATATATATATATATACATAGTTATTAGGAATAATTCATTATCTTACCATTCATTATAAGTACAAGACCTGAATTGGATATCAGTCCACTAGAAAACTATTTGTGTTTCACTCAGGGTTCTGAAGGCAATAAGTGTCCTTTGTGTTTGCTTAGTAGAGGGATTTTCAAAGAATTATACTGGCTTTTAAATGGTGATACATCTCTGCATTCAAGAACAGTGTTTACTTAACTTCATTGCCTTCATAGCAAAGCTAAGCAAGTTGAACATGAACTCTCTTGTCATCTTGTTAGTGTGCTGCACACAGGTAAAATACCACTTTAATGGAGCAATCTGTAGTGCACAGTGCATGTAGAGTGATCTGCACGTGTTCAGAGAACAGCTACTTCTCTCTAACTTTTGAATAGTTCTAGATTTCATTTTTTAAATAACTTATTTATTTTTCTTTCTTCAATAGAAAAGCAGTTGTAGATTAGGACAAGGTACAGTCAGAAGGATCATACAGGTAGATTAGATTTTTAAGTAGTGGGTATATATTTCAGAGTAAATAAGAATAAGCAGAATAAAATCCAAGCAAATGGAAAAGATTATAATAACATCTAAAATCTGTAACTTCTTTCAATGTCAGAAGTTGCTCCACCACCCATTATTTACTTTTTGATAGAAGAGTTAAGTGCAGAAATCTAGAGGAATTTCAGGAAAAAAGACAAACTTAAATGTTTAAGGGCTAATATTTATTTTCCACTTAAACTGAAAGAAAGGGGGAAAATAAATATTACCCCTTGGTGAATAAAGAGTATCTGGTAAGAAAAACAGAACAGGAGAAATGGAACAATTCCTTTTTACTGGAGGTATTTAAGTTTGTGTATATATGCAAGTGTGTATAGCACCACAAACGAAGTATGATTAGTTTGTTATATTTTGTTTTGGTTTTTTACTATTAAATTATTTGAGGTTTTATTCTGAAGATCAATAGGAGACAGCTAGAGGAGCATTGAAAAGTACTTGTTGTTTTTTAATTCATGAGAATGAAAGAAAGCACGTAACCCTTGAAAATATTTCTGTATTCTCTCTTTCTCAGATTTTTAGTATGGCCCACAAACAGGAAGAAAATCTGTAAATTGATCATGCTTGTTTCTAGAATGCCTGCCTAGGATCCCTTCACATTGATCAACAAGACAGATTTTCAGGCAGGCATAGTTTTTGCAGTGTGTATATGGCAACCTCCTCTTTGGAGGATTTGTTTTAAGGAGTTTTAAGAGAAGTCAATGGTCTTCTGCAAGAGACATCACTAAGAGGAATAAATAAAATACATCTTAGTAGTAAAAGATTCCTCTAACATCCATTTTTGTTTCATTCATATAGTTTTGTGTGAGCTGTTCTGTTTGGATAGGACTGAAAGTGTTTTTTTCATATGAGCATCACAGATAATGGTATTATTCCAGTATCTGACACAAGTATAGTTCAAGGCCTTTTTTATATTACATTAAGATCTCACTATAGGTGATGCTTCCCTGTTTTTCTGAATATCTTTCTGTGTTTATCAGCTTCAATTCTGAATACATTTTGTTAATTCATTTCCACATGCCTTCTAGAGGAATGTGCATATCCTAAGAAACATGACTAATTTTTTAGTATTGAGATTTTTCATTTCCTAATACTGCAAACAAGTCACTTTCTCTTACACAGATTTATCTTTATTTTGTACCTCAGGTACCATGAAAAATACTTGTTTAGCATTGACAGTGGCAAATGTTTAGACTTCCATTTTCATCTTGAATGGTGTTACTATTTTTAGCCCACCTAGGTTATTTGGAGTGAAGAAGCAAAGGAGGTAGCATAGAAAGTTAGAAGAATAAACTCTATTGTGTTCCTTTATTCAGTTTCTTTTCTCCTGCACACTTTCTTGGACTCAGTTCCTTCTCTTTGTTCTCCCCTACAACCCTTCTCTTCCCTTGTAAATCCACTTGAATGGAGGAATATTTTCTTTGTGGAACAGGAAACTATTTCCAGATTTAAAGGAGGATAGTCTGGAAAACCCATGGGAACAATAGATACTTCAGAAAAGAAAACAGAACCCTCTGTTGTTATTACTACAATTCTGTGCCAAGACTAGAATTAAATATCTTGCATTTGTGGGTAATGAGCTCTCAGCTGAAGGCCTGCTTATCTGGTCTCTCTTATCACCTAGATGCCATCACCTAGACTCTTGTTAGCTCCTCAGAGTGTGGCCACCTTTGCTGTCACCACTTGTGAACATAAAACTTTACAAAAGATAATTGATCCATTAATAATGCTCATAAAGCATAAAAATAATAGTAGATGAGCATATTTGGTATCACAACTAATTATAGTAGTATTAAAACTAGTGCTCCCCATTTACTGATAACAGAAGGATGTTTTGGGACATTCTTTTAAAGGCAGTTATTAATGGGCCAAAAAATCAGCTCTTCCACACCTTGCATATACACTTGGGTGCTAATCTAGCTATAGTTATTTTGAGACCTGTATAGGCCATTCATTAACCTCACTCCCTGTCAAGTGGGGTGCCCTGTCACAGGAGCCATGACCTTGCTTAAGCTGCTCATCTTCATGCACAGGTCTCCCCTGAGGCTAAAGGTAGCACAGAGAGGAAGTCTGAAATCTGCCGAGGGCTCCTCATGCCAAGCAGGGTGTTTTATAACATTGTGAAATGTTATAAATGTGGAGGAGTTAGCACTGGGTCTGTGGGTAAACAAAGACATCCTGTCTCCAGATCTGTTAGTAAGTAGCTTTCAGAAGCACCAAAATCAATTAAAAATGAATCATTTGTCTGTGTTAAATATACTTTGAAGGTTTGAAATAGAATCAGGCTGAAATACTGTCCCCTAGCTGGTTACTGAGGGAGACCTTGAGATCAGCATTGGGCAAGGCACAGAACTTAGCTTTGAAGTTTTAAGGAAGAGGAAGGCTTCAAGTTTTAAAGGTGACTGTGTGACCACATGAATCAGTCACTACCCAATCCTCTTTTGCTCTTTCAAGGTTTTTTGTGTTTTGTTTTATTTTGAAGTTAGGAGCCCTCAGCATGTGTGTGCCAGTGTGTTTGAGAGGACATGTGTACGTACGTGTGCTGCGCTTGTCTGCCAGAACAGATTCCCCAGAAAGAGTGCTGCAGAAATCCAGCTGCTTTTCCATTAACAGCCTTGATTTCCAAATGGACTCCAGGAGGATACTTTCTTGAGCTGCCTAGGGATAACTAGCCAATCCAAACTATTTCCTTTTCCATGGTTGGCTGGGTCAGCTTTCGGCCAATGGAGTATGGCCTTCTTCCTATTATCATGTTAATCACCCATTGCTGTTTTAGCCTAGAAAGCCCTGCCTAAGCAAAGGCACACTGGTACAGAATTCGTGGAATATGCCTAACTTCCACGGTGCATTTGTTATTATGGTGTTACAGCCTGTTCATTAGCTTCCAGCAGGCTACCTTGTTGCCATTGATGACATGGGAAGTAGTTAAGCTCTTGGTAGCACCTAATTTGTTCTTTTCTCAGCAGGTGCTTGAGGAAATTGGATCCCATGCACAGAGGAGGTGACAGCAACTCCTCTGTTTAACTCAAAACTTCTGACTTATTACTGCTGTCCTAAAAATGGGGTTCTATACCTGGATGTGAGGTGGAGGCTGAACAAAAAGTAATGTGCATCTAAACGTACACAAAAAGTACCCTCAAAAATATTTTCCTTCAGCAAGTTAAGAGGCTGTCATTTACTGAATTGGGCTTCTCTGTGCTGTTGGTTTGGGGTTCTCATTCACCCCTTGTGGCCAGCACACAGAGATTTCACCTGTGTTCTGCTGCCACCAGCTTTGCCTGTTAGATGCAGACCTCATGCTTGTGCCTGGTGGCAATTGTTGCAGTAGGAATTATTCTCCAGAAATAAATAGACACAAAAGGTCCAACTTTCTAAATTACACATAAAAAATGTCTATTTAGATAGCATATTCATATGCAGCAAATAAGCATGTACATCAAACAAAGCACCATACATACTTCTGCTTTGGGAAATAAGAGTTCTTGCACGTGTACAAAAGCTTCGTGATTTTTGGTTATTTTTTGTTGTTGTTTTTTTTTTTTTTTCCCTGAGTTGGATGTCCAGCTTGTCGACATGCATTTTAATTTCTGCAAAGGGTTTCTTGGATTTTTTCCTGCCACGTTGCACAAGTACATGCATCACTGTAAATCTGAGTGCAAACCCCATTTTCCATTTGAATAAATGGCTCATGTAATTGCCTCTTCACACTGTCTCCTGACTTCTGCAGCTAGGCCTCCCTGGTATGACTTTGAGATGGAGAAAATAGAAACAGATTGTACCAGGAAGCAGTTCTTTGTGGTAATGCAGTTTCTTGAAGATTTCTTTTTAGAGACCAATACAAAATGCATTACTTCCTTCACTTCACCAAGTAACTGTAGGTGCTCTGCCTGCTCTAGGTTGAGTTTAGTGAAAGGTGAAATTTTGAGAAAGTTGATCTTACTCTGTGAACAGTTACTTTTCTGTCTTTTGTTTCTCTCTGGGGGAATTTTACTGCAATGGGTTAAATGACAGGTGGAAACTCCATGTGGCTCAGGTACTCAGTCAGGTAGTGTAATTTGAAATTTTTAAAGTTGAAATTAAAATTTCTCTTAAAGCAGGTTGTTAATTAGAGATTGTGTTTATAGTCCCAGAAAAGCCGGGCCTGGGGATATATGGGCAAAAAAACCTCAGTGGAGGAAATTTGAAGCCTATAACATGCTGTATTCATGATCACTCTTGCCTTATGTTACAGTGCAGTTTTCTCTAATCTCTTTTTGGTTATTAAACAGAAAAAGACCTATCAATGCATCAAGTGCCAGATGACCTTTGAGAATGAGAGAGAGATACAAATCCATGTCGCTAACCATATGATTGGTAAGACATTCTTTACACTAGGCCACTCATTGGCTGCTTGTATTTTGCATATACATTGTATTTTGCATATACTCTTTGACATTCACTATTCTAATAACTTGTTAATATTCATGCTGTAATTTATTTTTTTATTTTTCAAGGAAAATGATTTTGATGTAATGATTCTTCACTTCAAAGCTTTTTAAATATGTGGTTATAAAAGTGTTACTGCTGAGCTTTTTCCTTATCCTTCTGAGTCCTCATGTAGCATTTTCATTTATATTAAAATCAAACTTTTGACAGTATCTTCCATTTGATAGCATAAATTTTTCTCTGTCTGTGTAAAAAGTACTTGCCAGTTGTCAACCACTTAGGAGCAATTATGTTTCAATTTTGTATGTCATGACATTGAATAGATGTAACTGCTAGCATTTTCCCAGCTAAGTGTGGTGAATTCCTGAGGAACATTGTCAAAACAAAACACTTACAGAGTTATTTCAGTGGGTTTTTTCTACTTTCCCCAACAATTCTGGACTTCAGAGAGTTCAGCTTTTCAGACATACAAGTGTTTTAAAAATCAGTGCTTTCTGCCTTCTGTGACAGTTCTGTGGCAGGAGTTAGTAAAAGCATTGTTGTAACCTGATGGGTTGTACTTCTGCTGCAGCTCTGATTGCCTCTCTGATGGACACAAAGAAAGGTTTTTTGCTGTATGGACAGATGTTATAAATACATCTGTCGGCCCAAGAGGTCAGTTTATTTTGGTGCATGGACCACAAGAAGATACTTACACATGCCACTGTAGGCATGTGTTGGATGGGACCCCTCAAGGACCTGACAGTGCTCTCTGTGTCTCCTACATTCCTATGCAGCATTTATCTCCCATAAGCATAACGGTTTTCCTTCAGCAATTTTACATTTAGGAAATTATTCTCCCATCAATTCTGGTATGTAACTCCTATTAGCTTTGAAGTGGATTCTGCATAAATACCAGAGAGAGAGAAATGTGGACTGACACACTCTTCAAACCCCTACCCCCAAATGAAAAACATACATATCAGTCACAATAATTTTCATCCAAGAGCCAGGCAGGAGTTTTAAGTTAATGTCAAGCAGGTTAAGATAAAGATATCTAAAAGTGTTTGCTTTTGTAGCAGGTGTTAATGTAATCTCTTGTTTGCAAGCTTGAAGAGTGAGATCCTTGTTAATTGGACCATGGTGATTTCATGTAGCTCCCTCCTAGATTTTGAGAAATAAGTCCTTTGCAAGCTTAGCACTTGTTTCAACTTAATTTGTGATCCAGTAGCTAATAAATGATTTTTAAATACAAAGGTCATTAAATGCTTAGCTAAGGATCTACTTGATTTGAGGGGAAATATCTTTTTTTTCCTTTTGGAAAAATGTAATTTCTTCATTTTCCAGTAACTGATATGTGAAGTTTATTTATGTATATGCCCATATGGAATAATATACAATTATACACATGACCCTACAAAGTCCTTAGCACCATTGGAAAACGACAGGTGTAAAAGGCATTGGAGGCTGTGAAAATTGTGGTGCTGTTATTTGTGAAAACTGTACCCATTGTTTCCTTGAAGCTGTACATCGGTTACTTTAATATTTGGAAGAATTCCATACAGTACAAAAGTGCTGTGGGCCCAGTTCTGTACACCTAGAACATTGTAAATACCAGGGTAAGGTAAGAAAATATGTGATAATTCCACTGTGGTGTCATGTCTTCATGTGCCTTTGCTGACGTATATGCACTTAGTTAAGGTCATCACTGCTTTTAATTTAGGAAAGAGCAAAGTGTAGAAACCTTCAATATGGAGCCAAACTTCCACTCACTCCAGGCATCGCAGTTCACAACACTTCTGCGTCCCCTTTCCTTCAGGACATGCGACTGCCCACAAAAAATGGTGTTTCCCGTGAGCTTGCTCATTGGTATTTGTTCTTTATGGGGAATACTGGCGGGAAAGAGAGAGGCTAGATGTCAGCATTTCTTAGGCAACAAATGCTGTGCAGATTTTTGGTGTTAATGTACATAGTCCTGGGACAGTTACAGTAGGGAGAGAGACTAACTGCCTCCTGTGCTTGTTCCTGTCCCCCTTGGTCATAGCCTGAGCACTTTGTTCCTTATTCAGGCCTTAGGACAGACTTGCACATGCCTCCTTACTGCTTAGGCTGGTTTATCACTGGTAAGGAGTGTGAGAGTTTCCCTTCTCTGTGTTAGACCAAGTCTAGCCAGATGGACAGCAAGAGAAAGAAGCTAATATAGCTGTGTCTGCAGCCCAGGTGTAGTTCACAGGAATTATTAATGTCATCACTGTCAGTTTAAAATCTACAGATGAGGATTTGTTTGTGCTGGAGGGACACTGAGATCTCAGGGTGAGCATACAGGTGTTTGGGAGACAGGAGGAACTTACCCTCAGACTGTCCTCAGGAGCTTAGGGCTGGCCTCATCTCAATGAACTTGTATCTGTCTAAAATTAAGGTGTCTGGTTTAATATAGTCATTGAGATGCTGTCCAGGGAAAATGAATGATTGATACCAATCTAAGATAAGAGTTTGAGTAGGATAAGCATTTCCAGGGAGAGATTTTTATCTCTCTTTTGAATTTGAGGAGAGCCAAGACAATGAAGTTAGCCTTGACATGTAATTTTTAGGTAAAAAAATCCCTTGGCTTTGATAATCCAAGACTCAGCAGCACTTTCTTCTCATACTTTGAGAAACACAAAATCAATAGTTGAGATATCTTAAGCACTTGCTTACAGTTTTATTCTGCTCAAGTGACTGTCAGCGAAGGAATCCCTGCTCTGTAGCAGCAATACCTTTTAGGTAGCAGCATCCGTAATTTGGTTAAAGAATTCAATTATTTCTGACATCGTGGTCTTAAAAACTGCATCCAGTTAAGTTGGCTGTGCCTCCCTCTTCAACTTCTCAGATTCCCAGTCTGGAGCTGGAGGCCCTGTTCATAATTCATGGAGGTAGGGGGTTTATTTTTTTCAAAGCAGTATGAAGGGAATTTCCAGTGCTACTCCCACACACTGCTTTGAAAAATTACCCTGCTGCACTCTAGCCCTTCATATCCTGTGCACAAACACAGAGGCACATTGGGTCCTTCACAGGGTCCCCAGGGAAGGAGCAGGCTGGATCCATCCCCAGAGGAGGGAAACGGGAGATGTTTTGTTTCACTTGATGCTGGGGCCTGCAGGAGGGCTCTGTGTGGCACAACAGAGCTCCTCAGCTGGGGTTAGCCAGGAAGGGATCTGTTCAGGAAGGTTTTCAGCTGGGGGGGTAGTTCAGGTTGGAATTTTTAGAGAGCAGTGGTCTTTGAAACATTGCACCGATTGGGGCTCCTTTGAAACATTTCCATGCCCACGGAAAGGGGATCCCCCTTTGAAACATTTACAGGCGTTGGGGAGTCCACCTGGGACTATATCAAAAACTTTCAGCAGTTCTTGCTGCCTCTGTACTTGCTTACCTCCTGTTGTGCTGACCTGGCAATGTTTAAAGCTTCTCCCCCTTTTCTCCCCACCGAGCTGTGCCTCTGATGTTCGGTCTCTGTTAGATGAGGGGAGGATGGGCCTGCGGGCCCTGGGCTCTACGGGGGGCACTGAGCAGCCATGGCAGCAGCCACAGCGTGCAAATCTGTCACTGCAGCCTCTGCCCAGGCCGGGGAGCCTGCAGCTTCAGCCTCCATGGCAGGGCCAGGTCCCCATGTGGGCAGTGCTGCTCCCATCCTGCACTGCCAAGGGAAATCCGCTCAGAGCCTGCCTAGGGAAGTAAGGATTAGGCCCAGGGGTTTCCTGTGGGGTTTTTATAGGTGTGCTCTTCCCACGGCCAAGCTGGGTTCCTTAGTTGATGTTTTTCAGGGGCACATAATTCCACAGATTTGTTCTCTGGGTGGGTCAGGTTGCCTGTATTGAGGGGAAGTGCATTTCATCCCTGCCAGAGTTCTCTGCTCTTTGGGTAAGAGAAGTGGACACAGCAGTACTTCTCTCTGTCTCAGATAGATGGGGCATGTTTTCCATTTAATGTTCAAAGAAGATGAGCAACTGTCCCAACTCTTCTTTCTCCATTTTCCAAGAAAGTCTCCTGGCAAATGTGCACAGGAAGCTCAACTGGGGATTAGTTAATACTGGAACAGGGAAAATAATGATTCCTGGTTTGTGCTCTAACGCTGGGATTGCTGTAACATTCCTCCTGCCTCCGGCTCCAAAGGAATGTGAGCGTTTGTGGGCTCATGAGCTCAGTCCCAGTGCTCGGAGCTCAGCAGAGCCCTGCCCCAGTGCCACTCCTGTCCTTCCCCGTGGAATTGCCAGTGCTCCCTGCCAGGGCGCGGGAATGGGCACTGGGGAGCAGGGGAGGAGGGGCGAGGCTGGATGTGTTTGTGATGTGAACATGAGGCCCTGTCTGAGCTTTGGGAGCCGCCGGGGACAGAGGGAATGCTGAAGGGAAAGCTTCCAGAAGTCACAGTGAAATTGTTCCGTGGTCCAGTTCCTGAACTGCAGCCTGGATAAATTCCTGTTTGATGGGATGGTGCTGACAAAGTTAAACACCGCGTTTGGGAGAGTTTTCTGAGTACTGCCCCAAGCCATGGCGTATCATACATTGTGTGTAGCGTAGGACTCCAAGGATCTTAATTACCTTTCCTGCCCTTAGAGATCATGTTTCAAGTTCTGGAAACACTCTGCTGGAATTAAACACAAATGAGAAGGGAAAACATCCATCCACAGTTACATTTCTTTCAAATGCATACAAGTACTTGAAACAAAACAATGGCTAACTATAAGTCTGTTATTTTGTTAACATTTTTAAATAATGTAATATTTTAAAATAAAAAAGTTGGGTGCTTGGAAAAGGTCAAATTGCAATAGTAACTACAGAAATAATTTTCTAAAAAGCAGCAATTTAGAAAACCCATTTTATGTTCGGAAGAATTAGCAGTTGATACCAAGCTCAGTCTCTGAGATTAAACCAGTACAGAGGTGAAGAGGTTGAGATCGTACTCAAATCAAGCA